TTTTTAGTAATTATAAAATATAATAATATTAATTTATAATTAAAATTAATTTTTAATTAATAAATATAAAAATAATTTCAAAGACATTAAGTTATTACAAACAGATATTACTTCTTCATCAATTAATTTTTTTAATATAAATCATTAAATTAATCTTCATTAATTTTTTATTTTTGCATTTATAACTATTACTAATATCTATATGTATTTATTACTTCAATTTGTATTCTCTCTCCCTTAAAATGTTTTAACTTAAAATATAAAAAGTAAAACTCATTAGCACCTTTTCATTTACCTACAGTCCTCTCTTTATTCATTTTTCTTATGATATTATCTTTTAATTTATACTTACATATTTTATCATTATATATATTTATTTATTCATATTTGTTCTCATTTTTTCTCTCTATATTAATAATTTATTTATTATTATTCTTTATTTCCTATATCCTCCAACAATATTCTTTTTTAATTATTCCTTACACCTATATTGATCTTTAAGATATTTTTTATTCCAATTCTCTCTCTCCCTTTATCTTTATTAAACATGTTCTGAATCAAAACTTAAAAGAGATAACCTTTTACCTTTATTTTATTGGTATTTTTTTACTTACGTACCATTCCTCCCACCTCTCATTAATTTTTCTCGTGCATCTCTTATCTTACACCGTCACATTTTCTCACTGTAAACAATGTTTGCCCTCACTTTTTCTTTTTATATTAATAATTAACATTAATTAATATATCTTTTAGTTCAATAACTACATGATATAATCATTAAAAAATTATTATTTTTTAATTTAAAATTAAAGATAAACAAAATTAAAGATGCAAACTATACATACATATGCAAGAATCAATTAAATTGATTATATTTGTATTATATTTTAATGCTGAAGTATGTAAATGTCAAAAGATGTATTAAAAACAGAGGGTTTATCGATCATTTTTCATTAATAATTTGTTTGTTATTATTATTTTTCTTATTATCCTTCCCTTTCTATTATTCTCATTCCTTAAGTCACCCTCTGCATCTTCACCTATCATTATATATCTTTGTATGCAATTTTCCTCTTTTCATCTATCATTAGATATTTTCTATTTTCTCAAGATTATAATAACATATAAATATCTTAAAACCACAAATAATTTAGTCATATATGCAATAAATTTACACACACACACATATATATCTATAAACTAATAAGTTTTAACTAATATAAGATAAATAGCCTACATTATATTCCTCTTTTCCCTCTTTTTATTAATAATTTATTTGTTAATATTCCTTTTCTCATTATCCTCTCATTTCTATTATTCTTTCTTTTTCTTTTTTCTTTTTTCTTTTTTTAGCAGTTCTATTATTCTTTCTTAGTTATATTTCTTTAATTTTTTATCTATAAAAAATCTCTTTTTTTACACAATTTTTTTCTTCCCAAAACTTTTTCACTAACCTATGCCTCACATTTCATTAATTTTTTTTAGGACTCCATCTCTTAACTTGTTCTCTCATATTTTATCATTATGTATTTACTCTACACTCGCCCTCATTTTTTCTATATATATTAATAGTTTGTTTGTTATTAGTATTTCTCCCCTTATCCTTATTCTCTTAATATTATTCTTTCTCAATCATTCTTTGCATTCCTATTTATTATTGTATATCATTCTTAACCCAAAATTCTCTCTCTCTCTTGTTGTACTATATATTAGAATTGTTTAACTTATTGTGATAATTGGTATATTGAAAGCCTGTAAAGACTGTGGAACAAACTGACCCCTTCCAAGGATAGTGCTTTTATTTGGCAAGTATTATGAGATAGGATTCCTTCAACACTCAATTTATTCAATAGAGGAATTATTACGAATTATAGATCAACCAGCTGTGGCCTTTGTGGTGAATCAGTTGAAGTCGAGCACCACTTATTTTTGCGTTTAGTAGCATTTCATGTATACGGTCTAAATGTTTTCAAAGGTGGGGGACTGTCACGGTAATGGCTGGGACCTGCATTGAATTTTTTGAGCAAGGAATTTCCTGTTCAAAGGCAAGAAGGTGAGGGAGGGATGGGATGTTGTTTGTTTCACCATTTTCTGGTCAATTTGGACAGCTAGAAATAAGAGAATTTTTCAAAATAAGCCGGACAGAGAAAGGATTTTTTACTTGGTTCAGACTAGGAGCTTGCATTGGATTAAAGGCAAATCAACATACTGCTTCTTTAGCTATTCTGACTGGCTGCTTGAACCATTACTGAAGTGCTTGGAAGGCTGAAAGGGTCGGGTTGCGAGGCAATAATTCTTAAACTAGCTTGCTTTTCTAAGAGTTATAACTATCTTGGGATTGATTGACAGTCTTCCTGTCATTCTATCGTATGTTATGATGTAATAGATTGGATAATCCCTTATACTTTGAGATTATAATAATAAAATTTTTTGCTATTAAAAAAAATTATTCTTCCTTTTTTTTTTTCTTTTTTTTTTCTAAAAAAAATTATGAGTATTCTTGCTCTCTTTGCTTCTAATAGTTGGATTATTTGCAATTTTGCTTGGCATTATGCACCATGTTAAAATGTGGACCGTGGACTAAGGACCATCTAATTTAGAGCCAGCTAGTAGTTTTAGATACGTGAAACCTTTTTTTATATGTTTTGTATAATAACATATTTGGGTTAAGAGGAATGGAGGGGAGGAAAGGGAAGGGAAATATTTTTATGAATTAAATTAATTATAATGTTTTTAAAACTTACATAAGATAAGAATAAACTCTTTACAATGTGTTTTATTAACTCGTGTGTTACTCGGTGCACTTGATGATTAAGGGAAGATTACAATTTTATTTAGTTAAAAGTATTATATAAAAAACAAAAAATTAAGGCATCTAGACATATAATGAATAAAACTTACATAACAACCACTTAAATCAGATAAGTTTCATCCATCGTCTAATTGCGATATAGCATGTTGCACCGAATTAGCTTGGTAGGAGAATTTGAAATTCCAAGACTTATCAGAACATAGAAAAATTAAAGCTGACCGGCTGGATTTTAAATACTTTACAAATTGATGGTGTTGGTGGGAAATGGAAAGTTGACCATTTGGGGATAGTTTGAGTAGGAATAATTCTAACAAGCAATATCTCTGACCATATATCGATAAAGCTGGAAGGGGACTTGGGGTTAAGAAAAAGGACCGACAAACAAATAAAAACAGAATTTAGGTGGAATAGTATAAGCTAATTTTATTTGAGCATGGCCTAAAGTCACCATAACAACCCAAAAGCTGAATTTTGTACACACCATTTTCCCAATAATTGACTTTAATCATAGTCTCAACCTTTGAAACATCCGACAAGTCAAAACCGTGTAGGCTCACTTCCAAACACCAAACTCCTCCAACTCCCGGAAATTCCCAGTTAAATGTCAAAAACCATGTACTTGCTTACCACCTTATAAATATTGAACTCACTTTCATTCCTAAGCTCATTGGTACAAGCGGAGAAAAAGAAAATGAGGCCTCTTTCTATTGTGTTGGTTTTGAACATGGTTGCTATCGTAATCTTCTTTATCTTGCTCTCGATTTCCTTCCACGTTGAGGGCTTGAGACCTCTAAAAGATTATGAATCTTCTTCTTGGTCGATAAATGGTATCCATTTAAGCAAAGCATATTCAGGGCCGAGCCACAGCGGACGCGGTCACTGAGGAAGCAGAAGGCTATCGGACTGAGAAGCAAGTCATGTTCATCTTGCGTGGATCAAAGTAGCACATGCTTTGTATACAACTTTTTTTTTTTCTGATACTGTGTATGATTAATTTCCTATAGTCTGTACTTTTTCATTTGCTACACAATTTATGTTTTTTTTTTTTCTGTTTATCCAAGGTTGTCGGTTCCTCGCTTAAAGATCAAATGTAACAGTGAAATTAAACCTTTAATTAATTCTTTTGTTTATCTAGTTAAATCTTAAATGTAACTGTAAAGAAAAGATGGTTCATGGTTGAGTCATGTGACTAGCAATAACGGAAATTTTTTTTCCTTTTTTGGCACTTTTGTTGATTAAAATTTCTTGTGAAATTGTTTAAATTATGTTAATGAATATTTTTGTGTATTGATTCATTAAAGGTGTTTTAATCTTTTCATTATCAATCTTACTATTTTAATAGCTAAGACGTCTTGGTTTTTCTTCAATCTACCCCAAAGAGAAGTAAAAATCAAAATGTTCTAGCACTTTAAGGGCAAGGATTTTTTGTGAAATTATTCAAATACTTTTAATAAATCTTTTTTGTGTTGGTTTATTAAGGATAATTTAGTCTTTTCATTATCAATCTTGGCATTTTAATGGTCATGAGAATATCCTAATTTTCCTCAATCCCCACCCAAAAGGAAAAGTGAAAATTAAAATGTTCTAGCACTTTAAATGCAAGGACTTCCTAAGAAATTATTCAAATATCCTTAATGAATCTTTTTTGTGTTGATTTATTGAGGATATTTTAGTTTTTTTATTATCAATTATAACATTTTAATGGCTAGAATGTCCTATTTTCCTCAATCCTTATCCCAAAAAGAAGAATGAAAATCAAGATGTGTTGGCATTTTAAATTCTAAGACTCCTTATGAAATTGTTCAAATATCTTTATTGAATTTTTTTTTTTTGCATGTTGATTAATAAGGGTATTTTAATCTTTTAATTATTAATCCTAGCATTTTAAGAGTCAGAATATCCTATTTTTTTCAATTCCTTACCCAAAAAAAAGTAACAGAATTATTATTATTATTATTATTATTATTATTATTATTATTTTTTTTGTATTTGGATATGGTTAGGATGTCTTCAAATTAGTATATGTATAGTTCGAAACTAATTCCTTCTTGAGTGACTTCAAGGGCACAACCTTCATATGGATCTAATCCCTACATTGGCCAAGTATTCAAGGAAATTAATTTTCTTAGATATTGACCCAAAATTTAAACCTAAATTTTATTACAAGACAATGCTTATTTAGCAATGAGGACAACCCAGGGGTTAATTAGCAGTTTTGTTTCTTTGTTGGTGGTAAAATATAAAAATAGTGTCCTTCATCCCTAATGTTTGAATATATATATATATATATATATTTATTTATTTATTTATTTTTGTCAATAGTGTAAATGGTAATGTTCAACTAAAATTTCTACGTTTGAGACCATATATATATGAATGCAAAGGAAATTGAATTATTAGTGCTGGACCTAAAATTTCAAAGTAATAAAATAATTTGCATATGGGAAGAATATATAGCCGCACAATTTTAACAATTTTTTTCTATATTTTTTCTACTTTCAAATGAGCTAATTTTTTAGTACATTGAAGAAATTAGTTGCTTAATATTTTAGGGTTTAAATATCTAATTTTGATATCAAATTAATTAAAAACTTTAAATTAATGTGTATCAATTTAGGCAAACTCTTATCAATCTTTTAATGAGCTAATTAGCACGTTCCTTGCCTTCCAAAACTTGGCACTTCAGACTCAACGAGGAGATGGTCAAGTATGTATCTTTTGCACCAAAAAAGGAGATTTCTCGTATTCAAAAACTAGATTTACCTTGATACATAAAATATGCAGTACTCTTAGACAAGCAAATTTAATTGATTATAAAGTATAATATGAGTAAAATATCATTTCTTGAAAACTATTCTACACTATGAATATGATATCAATATATCGTAAGTAGAATTAACTGATCAATTGAAATTAAACTACTCAATTCAAAGTAATTTCTAATTAAAAGGAAACTACGAAAAAAAGGAACTAAGTTTTAGATTTCATTTAATTTGAATTATGCAACTGATTAACTAATCTAGTAATTTAAAACCAAATAATCATTAAGATTTGTTAAATGTCATCACATGAGATGGTAAATTTCTCTCAATTGACTAATTAGATTTCTCTCAATTGACTAATTAGATTTCTCAAGTCAAGTTAATCATTCTCTCGTTAGTTAAATTAGTTACATTTATATGTAATTTAAAACAAATTAGCTAGTGAGTATTAAGTGATTTGGAAACTTCTAGCTTAAAAAAAGGGAGTTCTTTACTGTCTTCTCTTTCTCCACTATCACATATGATGTTAATTACCTTTTACTCTCATAGTTTAACACAGAGTTTATATTGTTAATGATCTAATTCATGCTATTCTTTTTTAAGTTCATGTGTAAATTTTTAAATCAATTGAAATGTGATCAAACTTTTAAAATGTTAATTTCAATAATGTAAACTATCAAGCAAATAACAAAAAAGTCTTAAATTAAATTAAAATCAATCATATAGTCCAAGAATTAAATTCCATCTAACCCTAATTCAAATAATTTAACTACTTATAATCAAGTGCAAAACAACCATAAAATTTAAAGAAGAATTCTAACAAAGTAACGTGATAAAATTGACAAAGTCGAATGCATAAAGTCATAAACCCAATTGCCGAACTATGCTGTCTTAAATACTTCTTTGTTTTGGATTTCTTCCTTACTGAGTTGCTCACTTCACATGATAAAATATTGGGCCCTTTTACCGCCAGCCCGGGACTTCTGCTTCTCATATTTCCATTCCTTTCCGCAAACCCTTATATCAGGATCCGGAGTTTGCAACATAAATTTCACCTAAAAAACAATTGAAATGGGTTGAGTTCATCAAATATGAATTGTAACTCTATCTCTTAACTTTTCAATGCCTTAAGAATTATCTCAATCCGATATCTATAGAGAAAATTATGATAAAGAAACCACAGCATACTAAAATTGCTCACAAAGTAAAAAATTAATTCCCATAGAGTTTGTTCTCTAATCCTCACCTACAAAATAATAAAATCAATGTAAATTTAAGTGAAATTAAAAAATATCTAAGTTATAAAGAACACATAGAGATTGATTTTTAGGTCATACTATATAAAAATTAAATTCATTATAACTGAATGAATGCTAGGACCATATACATGCATGTAATTAACAAGAACCTGCAGTTTATTGTTCTAACAGTTTGGGACATTAAAACTTGACTTTTAACGAGAGATTTTCGAAATTATCTTCAAAAGAACAGTAGTGGAGAATCAAAGGTGGAAATGGTAAAGCCCTTAGATAATATTCTGATAGAATGCCGATTATGAATGAGAACTCTTATTATTATGTGTGCTTGATTTGGATAACAAGTTTCAATATCTGCAAGTTTCAACAGTTCAGTCAATTAAAGGAAAAAAAAAAAAAAAAAGAGGAAGAAAAAACGCCAAGAAGAAGAAATAAACGACGTTCCTGGAGACGAAGCTGTAGCTAGGGCGGGTTCAAAAGGTGAGAAATACGACAGTGTTGGACCCAAAACCCTATATAAGCGTAGCAGGTCGCAAGCTCAGAAAACAAAAGGCCTCGGAAATGGGTGATACGTGGGCTGGGCTGGCAAATAAAGAACCAAAATGGCCGAATGATTTAAAGCAATGATATTGGGCAAAGTTATTTATTATTTTTATATAATGCGGCCCTGTTTGCTGGAGTTTTTTTTGGAAGTTTTATTTTTTTAATATTGTTTATATGAGTCATAAATTTAAATTTTTGTTAAAGGAAAAATTTTAAAATTACTTTTAGAAATAATAAAAAGTGAATAAAATGTGAGTAAAAAGTAAATTTATAAGAAGTTTAACTTTGAAAATTTTTCAAAATTCATTATTTAAGATTTTTTTAAGGTTAAAGAAAAATTAAAAAATATAAAATTTTAAGAAAAAAATTTAAATTTATAAAATATAAATAAGATCAAAGAGTTGAAACATTTACAAATTTCACCAAACATACTCAAAATATTTGGACTTTTGACTCAACAAATTGTCTCGGTATTAAACCTCTCCATGTACTTTGTAATAGTCAAAACTCCACCTTCAAGCTAGCGAGCATGACCTATTAGAAACTGGTTACACTTAAATGGTAATTAAAAGACTCGAACCTACATTTTTTAGTATAGTCTGAATCTATTTTAAAATTAGAGCCAACCCTAATAGGTTAAACTATTTATTTTTATTTTAAATTTAAATAGAAAAGGAAGTGTAGAACATGAGTTTCTCTCAAATTTTTTTGGACTCCAACCTTCACAACTCATATTTTAATTAATATTTTTAAAAACTAATTGTTAGTTAAATATTCTATTTATGTAAACTATATTTGTTAACTTTTTTTTTTATCTAGGTTGCAATAGGAAGCAACTATCTTTCATTCTTTATCCTATCCCACTTGCATGTCATGCGACTCAAATTCAAAATCTCTTATTTTTAACGAAAAAAGATGACCACCAAGTTATTTAGGTCGTTAGCTATTTGTTAACTTTTAAATTAATCTTATGAAACACATTTCTCATATAAAAATCAACTCTAAATCTCAAATTTGTACAAGTCTATAAACCTAAATCAATCATGATTACATATTATTATTGTTATTGTTTGATTATGAGGTGATTACCTTTCCTAAACATGGTAGCTAACTTAAGCTAGAAAACCCTTGGGGCTTGGCTAAGTAATGTTCTCGCTAGAATACATAGGGGAGCTGTACTTAGCTCCAAGAAGCATAAAAAACTCTAGGACAATTATTAAT